AGAAGGCAGTGATATGGATGATCCTGACCCTGCATAGGTAAAAGAGTTAGCTATTATTATTTATTGAGTACCTAGCATATGCCAAACTTGCTAGGAACTTCTATAAGTTTAATTAAATCTAATTCTTAAAGTAGGTTTTGTTATCTCCCATTTTATAGATAAGAAAATGAATGCTCAGAGAGGTTAAGTGATTTGCCTGTGGGGATACAGCTAATAAATGGCAGAGGCAGAGTTTAATTTCTAAGTTGTCTACTGTAAACCCCTGCTTTTCAAATGTTTTGGCTAATGTACTCCCTGGCACATTTCTGTAACATTAAAAAAATTTTTGTAGCATCTTATAAATATTGACATTTCAAGATACAACTGTTATTATCCCTCTTCTAAATGTATCTAATGGAATTTAGATTCTGCAATAAGCAGATACTCCCCATGGTACTCTTAAAAAATGCCTGGAAAAACTCTTAAATAGTCAGAAATTTTGCACTGTTTCTTTTCTTCCATAAAGTTGTTTTTCTATCCCAATGATCTCCATTCTGGGTTCTATTGCCCAAGTTTTTATGCTTCACAATGTTGATCGCCCCATCATAGTTCTCCACCACAAAAAAATACACATTAAAATTTAATTAAAAAATTTTTTTGTCCACGTCCTGAATGTTAAAATTTTGTGCTGAATTGAAATATCATTATGATTACTAGTATTATATGGTTTATTAAAACAATATAAATAAATGTTTAATAAATAATTATTGAATACAAGAAGCAAGATATTGGAAGTGAATCTTCCAGAGGTAGATGAGGGTCATGGGTACTGATGGAACTTAGATTAAAGGAAGTGTCCCTTGGCTTGACTCATCTTTTCTTCCTTTCTTTAAGAATGTCAAATATTGGCCCCCAATCTATTCTGGCTTGTAGGGTTTCCACCAAACAGGTCCATTGTTAGTCTGATGAGTTTCCCTCTGTAAGTAACTTTGCCTTTCTTTCTGGATGCCCCTAACATTTTTTCTCTCATTTGCCTTGAAGAATCTGATGATTATGTGTCTTTGGATTGATCTTCTTGTGGAGTATCTTACTGGAGTTCTCTGGATTTCCTGAATTTGAATGTTGGCCTGTCTTGCTAGGTTGGAGAAGTTCTCCTGGATGATACCCTGAAGTATGTTTTTCAACTTGTTTTATTCTCCTCATCTCCTTCAGGTACCCCAATTGTTGTAGGTTCAGTCTTTTTACATAATTCCATATTCTAGGAGGTTTTGTTCATTCTCTTTTATTCTTTTTTGCTCTATTCTTGTCAGCTGGTCTTATTTCAGAAAGACAGTTCTCAAGCTCTGAGATTCTTTCCTCCACTTGGTATATTCTGCTATTTATACTTGTGATTGCATTATGAAGTTCTTGTGTAGTGTTTTCAGCTCCATCAGTTCAGTTATTATTATTTTTTTTTATAAACCAGCTATCCTGGGTATCAGCTCCAGGATTGTTTTATTATGATTCTTAGCTTCTTTGCATTGGATTACAACATGCTCCTCTAGCTTAGCAAATTTCATTATTACTCACCTTTTGAAGGCTAATTCTATCAATTCAGCCATTTCAGCCTCAGCCAAGTTCTGTGCCCTTGCTGTGGCCCTCTTCTTCTGGACCACTTGTATTCTCCACAGCTGGCAGGCTGGAGCAGCTGAGTCCACTGAACCATAAAGATGGTGGTTGTCTCTCTCCAAGGCAACCTGTCCCAGGGAGATATCAGAGCTCCATCCATAGAGCCCTGGCTGGAGTGACTGTAGTCCCTGCAGGGAGGACCAACCCATGAAGGAGAATGGATTGGGGTCCCACTGAAGAAGCAGTTTGGCTGCAATATGGCAAGGCAGCTGTGCTGCATGGTGGGGGACCCTTCCTCTTGTGGACCATCAGTATTATCCACAGCTGGCAGGCTGGAACAGCTGAGTCTACTGAATTGCAGAGATGGTGGCTTCCCCTCCCTCCAGGAGCTCCATCCCAGGGAGAGATCAGAGCTCTGTTCATAGAACCCCTGCTGGAATGGCTTAAGGAGGTCCTGCCCAGTGGGGAGGAATGAATTGTTGTCTTGGCTCCCTGGATTCACCCTCCTTCCTAGAGATGGATTTCCTGCCTTGCTGGAAATCCTGGGGCGAAAGTATGTAAAACTTCTGTGTCTCTTTGTATGTGCCTGAGTGGCTGCTCTGCTAATACAACACACAGCTCTGTGTATCAAACTCAAGGCCCAGGTGGTGTGGACTCACGAGGGGATCTCCTGAGCCGCAGGTTGCAAAGATTCATGGGAGAAGCATGGTTCCTGGTTTGCATAATCACTCATCACTTCCCTTGGCTAGGGGTGGAGGTTCCTTTGTCTCTGTGCTGCTTTTAGGTAGGCTTCCCAGCCCCATCCAAATTTTTTTCATTCTCCATGGGCCAGTGGTTTACCTAGTCAATCCCAATGCAAGAATCTGGATACTTCAGTTGAAGGTACTGAATTCACTTGCCCCTTTTAATTCCTCTCTGAGTGCTGTGGGCAGAGGCTTCTAATTGACTATCTTGGAATTGATCTCCCTGCAGTGAAGTGTTTTAAGCAGGAAGAACACATGATATTGGAAAATCAGCATAGCACGGTGGTTCAGAAATAGACTCTGGAGCCAGGCATATTGCTTGGCTTAGAATTCTGGCCCTGCAACTTACTAGTAGCCTCTCTATGCCTTAGTTTCCTCACAGTTTAAATAGGGATAAAATAATATCTACTCTATAGGTCAATTTGTGAGGTTTTAAAATTCTTGGAATAGTACCTGGCTCATTATACATGCTATAGACGTGCTTATTCAGTTAAATAAATAAAAATGTCTTTGGTAAGATAACTGAACATTGTATGGTCTAGTAGAGGATGCTGACAATAACAAATAATTAAAACATTTCATGAAGTAAGCATAAAAGATAGCGGTAATGCAAAGATGAGAATCAACTCTGCTTCCAGTGATTAGTGTGAGCAGACACATGTCACTGGACTTAGAAGCTTAAAGCCTAGTGTGGGAAGCTGACATGAATGGTAAGCAGCCAGAGTGCTTCTATAAGCAGGATCCCTATTCATTCCTCCTCACTGGGCAGGACCTCCTTAAACCACTCCACCAAAGGTTCTATGAACAGAGTTCTGATCTCTCCCTGGGATGGAGCTCCTGGAGGGACGGGAAGCCACCATCTCTGCAGTTCAGTAGACTCAGCTGTTTCAGCCTGCCAGCTGTGGATAATATAGATAGTTCACATGAGGAACGGTCCCTACAATGTAGCACAGCTGCATTGCCAATGGTAAAAAATGTTAGAGGTATAAGTAAGAGTGATTAATTTCAGCTTGAAAGCAAATGGGGAGGTTTCACAGAGAAGAACCCAGCATATTGGTTGATTGCTTGGACTTCAGAATCAGGACAGCTCAGTTTAGAATGCTGACTTTGTACCTCACTGGTTTTGTGATTTGACCTCTCTAATCTTCCGTCTCCTTTTCTGTAAAATGGGCAAAAATAATAATGATAATGATATGTAGCTCATAGGACTGATACGAATTCATAGTTAATACATCGGAAGTCTGAGCACAAGGCACTCAATAAATGTGAAGCTATTATTATTATTACAAGTTGAAACTTGGGTGGGAAAAAACTTTGTTGGCATTAAACATGAGAAAAGGCCCAGAAGTTGAAAAGCATCTGACATAATTAAGAACAGGAAGTTAATGCCACTTAAACTACAGTCACCACTGTCAGTCAGTGAACAGTTTTTACTGGTCCATGAACAGGTAAGTATAGAAATTGTGAGTAAGCATTTAGAAATTAAAAACAACAATCAAAAATTGAAAAACTAATTTTATATTTTTGGCATACTTATACACTTGTAATAAAAATTGGGCTTGTAGTTTTTATCTTTTTTCTCATTTGCGAGCAGGTTTTGAATTGTATTTTACAGAAATAATGGTCTGTGTCAGATTGGAAATAATAAAAACTTGTCTTTTACCCTTGATAGTTTGAGAAAAAAGTAATTCAGTGGGGCTGGATATGGCATCCGAGAGATGATTCTGGAAAGGTGGGCCAGGGTCATGTTTATGACGACCCTCCAATGGGATCACACTTTATTCTGTGGGCAACAGGGCTAGTTAGATTTAGAGAGACTGTTAAGGTGAGTGGACTTTGCACATTTTGTGCGTGTGTGTGTGTGTTCCCAGTGAACATGTGCTTTTACATTCTTTTTTTTTAATTAAAAGTTCTGTTTTGGTTTTTAGTTAAGAGGAGAGACCGGAACTGCTCAGTGTTTCACAAAGATAACTGTTTGCATTTGATAAGAGTTTCGTTAAACAAAGGAATTTGCACTTACCAAAACATAAAGCATTGAAAACACTGAGCACATACTCTGTGACCAGAATGCGTGTAACTTGTAGAGATAAGCCACCCCTGGTAATCAGATGAGTCTCCTTTCTTCTTGGGCACCCTCATAGAATTAAGGCACACACGAAAGAGAAAAGACTCTTTCTGATCCCTCAGTTCGGGTCATCTTCCCTGCCTTCCATCATCACCGCCTAACAATCCTACAAATGGCAGGATGGGAAAACGGTTTAATAATCGCTTCCCTTTGGGAAGCGTTTGACAGCTCAGAAAGCATGGCCTTTACTCAGGCTCAGAGACAGACAAAAAACCTTTCACGCTTTCCTTTCAGCTTTGCAGCCCCGTCCTTCTCTACCTGCACGGGTACCCAGTGAGGAAGCACAGGACCCTTCTGCCAAGCCCTGTGCCTTCTCAGGCCTCTGCTGCTCGCCTCGCCTGAGGCTGCGCTTCTGAAAAGCACTCGGCCCTGGTCTCCGCACCGAGTCTGAAGGCAAAGCCCCTGCACCAAGGAGTCTGGCCTAGGGGCTCGAGACCCAGGGCTACACTCAATTTTCTAACAGGAACCACAGCCCAGAAGCTGAGGAGCCTTCTGGTCGATCCGTGGCCCTGAGGTCGCCCTCGGAGACCGAGTGAGACACCCACCAGGCGTTCCAGAGGTGGCGCCCGACCCGGCCCCGGAGTCAGTCCTTCGCCCCGCCTCTCGGCCCGCCGCCTGGCTGGCAAGCAGGGCTGCAGTCCCGAGGCAGCGCGGACGGCCCCTGCCTGGTTAGGGGTGTGGCCGCCGCCAACGTAAGACTAGGCCGCGAGCCCGGTCCTGGGCACCGCCTCCGTCGCCGCCGTCAGAGCCGCCCCGTCAGGTGCGTGTGCCGCTGACCCGGCAGTGCCCGCGGGCAGCTGGGCCGAGGCCTTGGAGCCTACCCGCGGCGGGCGGGCGGGCTGAGGCTGGAGCAGGCCTGGGGAGGGAGCAGAGGGGAACTGACTTCCAACAACGCACATTGGTGGGAGTGACGGGAGGACCTGGCTGGCGGGCGGCAGGGTGGCAGCCTGGGGCTGCCCCTTCGGTGACGCTGAAGGCACCCAGCCTAGAAATGGGGAAGCCGTGAGTGACGTGGGGTGGAGGAGGTTGTAGCGGAACAGCAGCAAGCACAGCCCTCAGCAGTGCTTCCCAAGGCGGTTTCCCTTCCCCTCAGCTCCAGGGTTCAGCTCCAAGCTGAACCTTCGTCCAGCCTCTGCGAACATTCCTGGTCCCCCTGAGCCTCCAATGTGCTTTATGCATTTCGTTTGCGGTTCCTTTCCCATTTTACCGTGTACTTTCGCTTTTGCTGCGTCTAGTTTCTGCTACTAGACACTCCTAGAATCTAAGTTCCATGAGGGCAAAGTCCCATCTGATTTAGGACTCAGAGCTACTCAATAAGTAATTGAATGAGTACCTACGCCATAGAACTGAGTGAATTAACAAATAAGTGAATGCGTAAGTAGGAGATCGAGCTGAATGAAGCAGTGCATGAGTGAAAATAAAGATACGTGAAGTGGAAGCAGTGGGAGACGTACATAGGCTTACAAGTCCTATTTTCTGATACCTTTCCAAAAAGTTGTGTACATGTCGCACTTTTGCAAATGGAACATTCTGATTGGGACCACTTAAAAAGAGTTCTATTCTGTTAAAATAACCTCTGGAAATGCCCCATTTTTGGTGGACGTGGCTATATGTGTTTGCTTAAAACAAAATGTGCCTAGAATTTTTTTTTTTTTTTTTTGCTTGTGTTTTGTTCACTTCCACTTTGGACGTTTAAGGAATCATCGTCACTATAATATTATTTCATGTATTTCTTAAAGATGAGGATGACTTTAAAGGCAAAATCACCTGACTCCAATTTGTTTGTGAAACCAGGCATTTCTTTTGAATTCAGAGTTGTTAAGGATCTTGTCTGTTTTCCTGAGACAGATGCTGGCTGATTTGCAGGAGACTAAAGAGAGGGCCCAGAGAGACATTATCTGTTTGTACACAAAGGCTTAGCAAATAGCTTTAATAGAGTTGGTCACTGCAGCAGTTCTTAGTTTCCAGGCCCAGGTTCCAGAAGAGCTGGATGACCTTGGATTTGCCACTTGATCTCTTTAGGTTTTAATTTCTTAATCTCCAAAATGTGGCTGTTTAGCTAGGGACCTTTCCTGAGTTAAACCTCTGGGATTCGTTTTTATCAGGGTTAGAAGATGAAATTACAGATGATTTCATGGAGTTCTGCTTACTTCACCTGCCCTGTTTGAGATTCTGTAGCATTGTGTCTCTGCTTTCTTCTCTACTATTTACAGCTCATTCCCTTTCTTCTCCACATCTGCAATAAGAGAACCTGGGAGCTCAAGATAAGTATAATATATCCTAGTCTGGTAAGGAGAAAAGAGGGTAAGAGTTTCTTCTACATTGTCACAGGCTCTTGGTCCTGGGTCTGATTTGTTTCCAATGCATCCCAGTCTGACAATGCCATATATTCCCAGTATACCTGGGAAACTGCATCATTATTTCTTGGCATGCATTTGAGATTAGTTATCATAGATTACATTTTGAAGCTGGATGGACCTTGGAGATTTTTTAAAGGCACTTCAAAAGTCATTATACATACGTATTTAAATATTTTTGCATGTTACATTTAACAGACACAAAGTTCCAAATGTGTTAAGTAAAATGAAATAAATGTTACCTACTTCAGTTAATCAAGTTTATAAGGAGAAGTGGAATAAACGTGTGGCTTGTTGAAAAGGGCCAACTTTCTCACACTCTTTTCCCAAAGAGCTAGTTATGAGTTCATGTGTCATACAGGCATGGAATGTTACAAAGTTGATATTTATGGGGCACTGACCATATACCGGGCACTGTTACATTTAATCTTTTTACTTATATTGTCCCATTTAGTTGTCGCTATGTACCTAAGAGCTAGATACTATGGTAATTCCTATTTAACCTTCTTAACTAGAAACAGTACTTGGAAAATGGAAGAGTTAGGACTCAAAATTCAAGCAGATGGAAACAGGTTTCTTGCAGAAACAAGAAAATCCTGCCAGGAAGACTGCGTGACTTTGAAGTATGTGGTTTCTGTGTGTGTTCAAGCATATATACAAACTCTGGGTTATCTGGGTAAATGAATTTAGAATGGGAGCACAGGATGAAATGATTGAGACTGAATTATAGGGGAATTTATTGTTTTATCATTTTGAAAATTATTGAATTTTATTGAGATTCTGGGAGACTCTGATACTTTGACCTAGGTGCCCATGCACCTTAATTTTAAATGTGTTCAGACTTACCAATTTAGGAAACATGAAATGAGTGACATTGAGAGCTGTCATCAGTAAATGGCACTTAAGGGCTTTGAACCATGAGTGCCAAGTAGTGTTGTTTTTTGGACTAGCTTTGTGCTCTTGGTAAGGCACTGCCTCCCAACCTCCTTTTTTTTTGAGACGGAGTTTCGCTCTTGTTACCCAGGCTGGAGTGCAATGGCGCGATCTCGGCTCACCGCAACTTCACCTCCTGGGTTCAGGCAATTCTCCTGCCTCAGCCTCCCGAGTAGCTGGGATTACAGGCATGCGCCACCATGCCCAGCTAATTTTTTGTATTTTTAGTAGAGACGGGGTTTCACCACGTTGACCAGGATGGTCTCGATCTCTCGACCTCGTGATCCACCGGTCTCGGCCTCCCAAAGTGCTGGGATTACAGGCTTGAGCCACCGCGCCCGGCCCCAACCTCCTTCTTTATAAGACTAACAACCTCTAGTGTAGACAAAGAACAATGCCTACATCTGTGTAATCCAGAGACAAGAATGCAAGATGGGTTTCCAGAATCCTTATAATTAATTGATGAGAGCAAAAGAGGAAAAGAAAGGCCCATAAAATAAGTGGGAAATTATTTTGTTTCTTTTTTGTCAGCCAAGTTTAGCCCCATGGAAAGCAGAGACCAGTTGTGGCCGCCTGAAAAACCAAGAGCTGATGCCAGTTTGATTTAGCTCAGGAGGCTGAAACTTTCTGCCCTGAAGGCTGGTGTGATGGAATAGACCTTCCCATTGCTCACAATATTATGAAAAAAAAAAAAAAAAAACAAAAAAAAAAACCAAAACCAAACATTAAAGCAACAATTTTTATTACTTGGCCTGAAGCTAGAGCTTTAAAATGTACTTTCTTCTCCCCCTACCCTCCCTAAACCATTTAGCTTTTAAAAACAAATAACCCATTCATGTGTTTGTTACAGTCACATTATTAGTTCTCTTTATTCCTGGGCCTGTTTCTTTAATGCAGCAAAGTATTTGGAGGGGTGTACTTCTGGATCTGTGGAATTTTCCTTTAGTTATTATTTTATTCAGAAAATATTAATTTCAGTAACCATTTATTGAGGGTGTACTATATGCCAGATAAAGATGAATGAGAACAAATATAAATAGGAGAGTGACCCAAACAATTGCTCCACAGGGTAAAGTGGAAGTAGTGGCCACTTACTCTTCTGGGAAAAAGGTATGATTGGAGCTTAGGAAGACTTTGCAGAAAAAGTGAATTTTGAACTGTGTTTTAAAGCCTAAAGACCAAGCAAAGGGAGAAGGGTATTCCAACCATGGAGAACAACAATAGCAAGGAAAAGGAGGCAAATAAGAACATGGCATTCTTTGGGAGTTGGGAGCTCTGTGTGCTTGTGGTAGGGAGGTCTGATAAGGCTGGGGCCAGACAGTGATGGTCCTTGAATTGGTCCTTGAATGTCATCTTATTTAAACTCTATCACAGTCTAGATAATCCTTTTCAGTATTATTTTTGTTTTGCTTTGTTTTTTTGTTTTTTGAGAAAAGGCCTCACTCTGTCACTCAGGCTGGAGTGCTGTGGCAAGATCTCGGGTTACTGCAAATTCTGCTTCCCGGTTCGAGTGATTCTCATGCCTCAGCCTCCTGAGTAGCTGGGACTACAGGTGTGCACCACCACAGCCTGGCTAATTTTTGTATTTTTAGGGCTTCACCACGTGGACCAGCTTGATCTCAACCTTCTGGCTTCAAGCTACCTGCCCGCCTTGGCCTCCCAAAGTGTTGGAATTACAGGTGTGAACCACCATGCCTGGCTCTTTGCAGCATTTTTAAGCTGAATTTTAAGCAGAGGAGTAATATGATTGGATTTTCTTTAGAAAATAGCTACAGTAATAATGTTTTAGAAGAACTAGGGAGGGAAGAGCCAGAAGGCCACAGGAAAATGAAGATGCAGTTGCCATAGATATAGTGAAATAGGATAAGGATCTAAACTAAGATAGGTTAGAGAGACTTTTAGATAACAGAGCAGGATTTGATAACTAGCTGGAGGATATGAGAAATATGTTGAAAATAATCTGAGGTTTTGGAATTGCTTAACTGGCTGAGTGGAGATGCCACTAATAAGGGTAATAAATATAAGGTGAGGAAGAAGTTTCGAGAGAAAGACAATGAGTGAGTGTAGGTAACTGGAACGTCCAGGTGGAGATCCCAGGATATGTAGCCTTTTCTGTAGCTGTGCTGTGATGTCACATAGTCAAGACCTCAGCCAAACATTACAATAGTACCTCAGTCTAAAAAGACACATCAATTTAATAACTCACTTAAAAATATATCTTACTTATCTAGTGACCATTACATTATATTTCAGGTAAGTTCTTAGAGAGCTCTGATTCTTGTGTAAGTGCCAGTGAAGGAAAAAAAAGATTGGAGACTCAAACAATGAGGGCTTATTATAAGCTGCCAGGAGAAACTGAAAAAGAGAAATATAGACCAGAGTGGTTCAAAGGAACAAAGATAAGGAAATGGCAGGAGTGTTGCAGAGAGTAGTGGTTTCTAAAGACAAAGGTATAGGCAGGTATGGAATACAGAGAAGAAACTTGAGCTGGTGCTTCCAAATAACTATACTTCTTCAATGGTAAGATATCACAAGCTTGATTTCTCATCTTATTCAGTTTGTCAGGAAGACACAAACAGGAGATTGTTCAGAGGTGTGGGTGCTGGGCAGAGGGCTCAATCTCATTTTGCAGAGAAAGTATTT